CCTTTTTAGAGATGCAAATATACCCCGGGACACACACAGCTCCACCTCAGCTCCCTGGCTCGTGGGCGCAGGAGGATCCTGGTGACCAAGTCCTCCCAGGAAACTCTGTGCACGTTACCCCCGAGAATTGGTGCTTGGCAGCTAACTTCTCAAGGAGGGCGTCTCCTGGCCCTTCCAGTAGGCTAGCTTCCGTTTTTCCTTTGTGGCAGGAGCAAAACCAAACAAATAAAAAACTGAGAATAGCACTGCTCCTGAGAAATACATAAACCCAACTGGGATATTCTCCAATTGAGAAACTTTCTCTCCCCTGACCCAAAGATCTCTGACCTTTGAAGTTTTAGAACAATGCCCAATTATTGAAGTCTGTACACTAATACTTCTTTAATGTGTTTTAGTTTTTTTATTCATGTCTTAGTCACAGACTTTCTGGAACAGACTGTTTTTTAAACAAACCAAATTTAGGACATCTATTTAAATCACTTTTGAAATGCAAAGAATTTTTTTTAAATAGTGATTTATGAATGGCACCATTCCATTTCCATTCTGACACTTTGACAGGTTAATAAATTTATGTGTTCATGTGATTAATTTTTGACCAGGGGACTGGAAGATGGAGAAAATGATATGAGGGACGAGTGTGTGTGTGTGTGTGTGTGTGTGTGTGTGTGTGTATGCACATAAATTGGAGTCAAGCTAGAATAAGGTAGTAAAATGTTTTCTTCAACCCACTCAGGGTTCCTGGCTGGGTCTCAAAATTAAACTGACAAAGGCAGATTAATAGGAGAGAAGCACACAAATTTAGTGTAAATTTTACAGGACACGGGAGCCTTCATAAGGAAATGAAGACCTGAAGAAACAGATAAACCTGAGTCTTTTTATGCTACATTTGCTGGGAAGTGGACAGTCATGTAAAAATATGATAGGTCAAAAAGTATGAGGTAAGTGTAGTAAACTGGGGGAAATTGAGCAAGGCCCGTTTGTTCAGATTCTTCTTGGTGGTGTCACTTCGTCTTCAGAGATAAGAACACTCCTTTCCTCCAGGTACAAGTTGGACATCTCTCGCATGGGGGTTTTATGACCTGTTTCCGTAGAGAAGAGCTATGGGAAGAGGGTCCATTTTGCTATTTCTCCAACTCCTTCAGCTTAAAGTATTCAATAGGGGGGTCTGGTTCAAGATGGCAACCCACTATCAGTTGGGAACTCAAAACCTGGGGCTTCTCCCCAAGAAGCAAAGGGTTCATACTCCACATTTGGCACCCCAACTTTTAAGATCAGCACTTGGGAGATGAACCCCAAAATATCTAGCTTTGAAGACCATCAGGGCACCTATCCACCAGACCCATGGGGCTATGGCAAACTGAGTCTCTTAAAGGGACTGTGTGTCGACTCACCTGATCCAGGGCCAGTACAGAAGCAGCCCTTTGAAAAGTCCCCAAACTTTATGTGAAAAAGCTCATTTCCTAATTTTAAAGTATTGTGCTTAAGTGGCAGGGGCCTGCAGGGATACCCTCCAAGGAGAGAAACTGTTGGATCCCATCTTCCCGTTTTTCCTCCGCCTTGCTAAAGCCAACAGGAGGTTTTTTTGTTTCCTTTTTCCTTTGGGTGCCATCGCTATATTCCACCCGGTAGGGGCCGTCTTCCATGCTCTCCCTCTTCCTTGCTAACACCGGCAATCACAGTCTTTTTAAAAAATTTCACCCTTTACTTTTTCTTTTTTTTTTTCCTTTTTTAAAACTTTTTTTTTTCAGTGAGTCCTATCTTTGTACTTCCTCTCTGCCTCATGGCAGCCGGTAGGTGCCATCTTCATGCTGTCCCCCTGCCACACTCAAGTGCCAGTATCTCACAGAGGGGAGCTTCTACGCAGGTCTGGTGCCTTGGTTTTTATGTCTGGTGACCTGGTTTCTGTGGCTGCTACTTAGGAGATGTCCCTTGATTGCCTGGATCTGGAGGCGGGGGTGGGGGGTGGGGGGCTTGTGTTCCCGGCCCCAGCGGACTGTAACAATTGGAGAGACAGTTCTTGGCAGACTCCCCCACCTAGGGCACTACACAGGCAGCAGAATGAAACACACCCCAGTCTGTCTGAGAAAGAGGCATATTTGCTTTTCTGGGAGCTTTGGCCTGAGAAGCAGGCTTCTGGTTTGGCACACTTATAGGCATCAAAGGGGCTCTTCGGGGAACAGAGGCTGGTGAACAGAATCTTTGCCCTCTCCCTCTGCGTCACCCCGCCTCTCCCTGAATGTTGCAGAAAAGAGCTTATGCCCTTCTCTGGTGCCCTGATTTTTGTGGCTGCTACCAGGGGACACATACCTTTATGTTGCCTGGCTCTGGTAGCCAATGGGGCTTACGCTCGCAGGTGGCACAGGACCGTAGCCAATAGAGAGAGAGTTTGCAGTCAGCTAGTGCCCTCAAGGCACAGCAAGACACGATAGACCAAGGATCGTTTTGGAAAGAGTCCTATTTGCTGATCAACTAGCTGCAGCCTGAGGGGCAGGCTTCTAATGCAGCACACATTTAAGGCTGGCTGGCACCCTTCCCTGAGACCTTGGAGGGTGGGCACTATCTTCTTGCTCTCCCTCTGTCATCCTCCAGAGCACCAGCATCTCTTGGAGGGGAGCTTCTATAGGTGTCTGGTACTCCAGTTCTTGCATCCGGTGCCTTGGTTTTTGTGGCTGCCGCCTTGGGGATGCCCCTTGATCATCGGAGGGGGGGGTGCTTGTGTTCCTGGGTGCCAAGGGACTGTAACAATGGGAGAGACAGTTCTTGGCAGGCTACCACCCCAGGGCCCTACACAGACAGCAGATTGAAACACAAACACAGTCTTTCTGTGAGAGACCTACTTGCTAGTCCTGGAGCTTTAGTTTTAGGAGGAGGTTTCAGGTTCGGTACACAGTTAGGAGACTCCAAAGGAGCTCTCCGGGAATGTAGGCCGAGGGATGCCATCTTTGCGCTCTCCCTCGGCCTGGCTACAGCCCACCGGTATCTCAGAAATGAGTTTGTACATGGGTCTGGAGCCCGGATTTTGTGGCTGCAGCCAAGGGGACACCAGACACCTCCAGATCACCTGGCTCTGAGGGCCAGCATGGCTTATGCTTGCAGAAGGTGTATATTTGCATTCTTTGAAAGCCTGAAGGGTCTGACTTCCAATCAGCCTGAATCTAAGGTGCTGATTGAGATTCTCTCCTTCGCGACACTGACTGGTCCTGGCACACCCTCCACTACCCCGAGCTATTAAAAATAAAATTGGCTGCTTGGACAATCACAAAAGTTTGAGAGACAGCTAATAGCTAGGGCAAGGTTGAGTGATAAGCCTATGCCCTACGGGAGGCCACTGCGTGATGTTGATGCTGTTGGTCCGGGGATCCACTCCGAATAGCGGATCTTCAGTTTGCCAAGTGTTTTCCTGTGTCATCCCATTCAATTCCTTTTTTTTTTAGTTTAAATTCAATTGGCCAACATATCATTAGTTTTTGATGTAGTGTTCAATGATTCATTAGTTGGTTGTAACACCCAGTGCTCATCACAACACAACATGGGCCCTCCCTAATACCCATCACCCGGCTACCCCCTCCCCCAACTCCCCCTCCCTTCTGTGATCCTCAGTTTGTTTCCCGGAGTCCAGAGTCTCTCATGGTTCATCTCCCTCTCTGATTTCTTCCCATTCAGTTTTCCCTCCCTTCGCCTGTGGCCCTCTGCACTATTCCTTATGTTCCACATATGGGTGAAACCATATGATAATTGGCTTTCTCTGCTTGACTTACTTCACTTAGCATAATCCCCTCCAGTTCCATCCATGTTGATGCAAATGGTAGGTATTCGCCCTTTCTGCATCCCACTCAATTCTTAGGACAGGCCTGTGAGGCACTTGACACACCCCCATTTCACAGAAGTCGAGGCAGGGTCAGTGAGGAAGACAGGCTCGCCTACGCCGGGCAACAGGAGGACCTATACGCATGCATCTGAATCCGGATGTTCCTGCCCACATGACTACAGCTCCGCTCCACCCGTGTGGTGCCTCACGACGCGCCGTGCCAGGACTTTGCCCTTTCAGGGATGGTTCTAGAGCACACGGCTGTGTGTTCCTAGTCCCTGAATCTTGTTCTATCTGCTCCTGATGGGGCTTGGTAGCGTGTTTTGGTTGGCGATTTTTCGTCTGACATACTGTCCCTCTCCATACTTTAGCCACAGATGGGTACAAAATTCCTGGCTTCTCATAACTGAATTATAAATATAGGCTTCTTAGTGATGTTTGGAGGCTCAAGGGTTGATGGGTACATAGAGGATTGATCTATGAGAAGTCAAATATATAGCATTGGAATGAGAGATTAAACATCTTCCAACTGATAAAAACAACAGAATGAGGAGAATAGTATACACTAGAAGTTGACAAAAGTGTAATGGGTAAACGCAGGGGCTTGGGAGTTTTGAATCGAAGTTCTGTCTCTTTCCAAATGAGTAGGTTATTTAACCTTCCTGTGCTTTGATTTCCTTGTATCTTATAAAAGGAGAGATTATGGTTTTTGTGACAACTAAAATATTTAATTCACAACTGTGCCTGGCACATAGTAAGTACTCAATAAATGTAAGTTTATTACTATGCATCACATCAACCTCCTTATTTTTAATATAGAGCCAAAGAGGCCCAAAGAGCTTAAGTGATTTCAACTTTCATTAACAAATGAGGATGAAGCTTTTGCTCTGTAGCAGACATTAACTAGTTGATGGCTAGAGACCTGCTGATTTCTATTCTATTATGATGTTCACCACACTCACTGCCACTCAGGGTTTTCAACAGGTTTTTTTTTTTTTTAAGATTTTATTTATTTGACACAGAGAGAGAGACAGCGAGAGGGAATACAAGCAGGGGGAGTGGGAGAGGGAGAAGCAGGCCGCCCGCGGAGCAGGGAGCCAGATGCGGGGCTCGATCCCAGGACCCTAGGATTATGACCTGAGCCGAAGGCAGACACTTAACCGTCTGAGCCACCCAGGCGCCCCTCAACAGGTTTTTGATATTCCAAACAGTTCCATAGGTGGCCTGGGCAGCAGTAATCCCCAAACTATCTTCTTTCTTCATTTGTCTTCCTGGTCTGGAAGGCCCTGGAGTGTGGACTGAAGGCAAGGAGCCCTGAGCTGAGCCACAGTTGCCGCAGAACTGACTGGCGGGGTGCCTGGCGTGCAAGTCAGGGGCGCTCTTGCAGTCTGGGGCTTAGGATGGCTCTCCCCAGGCACACGTGTCCAACCCCACCCGGAGACTGGAGACCATTGGGTTTAGAATCATCGTTTACCTGGCTGGTTGTCACAAAAACCATAATCTCTCAATCCTTCAACCTGGCTGAAGTGAGTGCTATTGGCATCTCCATGACCGAGGACAGTAAGGAACCTGGTTAGCCTGGGCTGTGGGGCAGGGGCATCGGTCTGCCGCTGACCCCCCTGCCCCATTATACAGTTCTCTATTGCAAAGCCTTTGTGCCCAGAGAATTCTCTGGCTCTGAGCTTTGGTACTTTTGTTTGAAGGAGCCTCGCCCCAGTCTTCAAGTTTCAGGTAAGGCAGCTGGTGTATAACTAAAGGAGGAGCAGAAGAAATAAAAATTTTTCTTACTTGTGTGAAGCCAGGTATGTGCAAATAAACAATGAAGAAGTACAAATGACTTCATGAGAGGAATCGTACAAACTCCCAGGGGACTAGTCCCCATCTTTACAAACCAAGACTTGCCTAACATTTCACTACTTTGTTTTCCTCTTCATTCAGAATGCAAATTTATGCTCATTGGTGGCAACGTAAGGGGCACATTCCCCCCAAAATGATTGCAAATGTTTGTCTCATTGCAAAGTATTTCAATGTCATCAAATGATTCTTCCTTCAACAAGAGCTCCTGCATGTGAAGCCTGTGTGTGCAGAAAACCCAGAAATGTTGAAAATAGACCTTCATAGACAGGCTAGCCCAGGGGAATTCACTGCCCCAGTTACGGTGTTTTGGGATCGCACAGGATAAACGGCTCCAAACTAAGGAATGTGCAAGATGGGAGAAGCTGTGATCTTTTGTCTTTACACGGGGAATGAGGAATTAGTCATACTGACTTTCCAATGCACTGAGTTATGGAAGTGGACAAATTTCCATTTTTTTTAAATGTTATTTTATCAGAGTAATACATGCACCTGATTTCGGGAGTTGAATGGGATCCATGAGCTCACTGTTGAGGATATAGTTCTCTCATACATATCCATTTCGCTCTCCAGCAGCATGGAATTTCTGCTCTTTCAAGCTCTTTGTTCTTGAACGAGGCCCATGTTTCTAAAGAATATGCTTATGCTGCTACTGTTCATCAATTTTAGACATTACAGTAGATGAAGATTTAGCTCAACTATCTTCTGCTTCATCCTGCAATATGTTTCTACCAAAAAAACAATTTATGTTCTGTTTTCATTATTCTGAATGCAAATGTCCTTCATTGGCGAGCTGAGAAGTGTGATTCTCTTTTCTGTAAATGTTTATTGTTGCTGTTTCCTGGGCTCTGTTTCCCGCAGCAGTTGGGACATCTTCCACCAGGCACACGCTTCCCTTACTTCGTTAGGCCATGACCAGCATTCGCCAGCCTTGTGGTAAATAGATGTTTCCACGAACAGCACCTCCTCGGGCAGCGAGTTTATCTAGATCGGTTTCCTCTGGCTTCTGCCGGACCTCACTTAGCAGCAAAATGTGAGGCCCCGCCCTGGCTTAAGATTCCTAAGTAGGATTTAGAGATGGAGGAGAGAGAACAACATAAATAAAGGCAAGAGGCAATCATGAGTATGGCATCGTCTAGAAAGGATTTTCTGAGACCTTTAGATGCCGCCTGCTATAAAATCTTACTATAATGTGGATGTGGATACCAAGTCAGGGGATGGCTTTAGAATCACTGTGAGGGCTTTCTGTTTTCTTCATAAATATGACATGGACGTCTGGACAGCCTAAACACCCATTTCATTCCGAAACGGATTATTTGGCTTACGAAACCTGGAATCTCCCACCCCGTGTTTTACCATCAGGCCCCTTATGGATGTGTCTTCTTCTTCCTCCTTCCCGCGTCACTACTGAGAAAAGACAAGCAGGTGCCTGCGGTTGCGATCCAGCCTCTGTGCGGACCCCTGCAGGCCCAAGCGCTAAGTGACCCAAGCCCGCGCAACCACACGCAGCCATTACGCACCTGCACACTTCGTCAGAAGGACCGAGCACGCAGCAACGCGCGCACGCGCATTGGGTGGGTTTTCACTCTGGGTTTTCACTTAATCCTCTCTGATTCTTTTAAAGCCTCTTTCCGGAGGAGAGAGAGAGAAACCAAGAAATAGACTCTTTACTATAGAGAACAGACGGATGGTTTCTAGAGGAGAGGTGGGTGAAGGGATGGGGGAAATGGGTGATAGGAATTAAAGAGTAATCATGATGGGGGAGAAAAAAAAGAAATAGGAAAGGCAATAATGAATGGAGGAACTGGCAGGGAAGGGATGACAGGAAGCTCAAAAACCATCCCTGTTGGGGCGCCTGGGTGGCTCAGTCGTTAAGCGTCTGCCTTCGGCTCAGGTCATGATCCCACTGGGATCGAGGCCTGCATCGAGCCCCGCATCGAGCCCCGCATCAGGCTCCCTGCTCTGCGGGAAGCCTGCTTCTCCCTCTCCCATTCCCCCTGCTTGTGTTCCCTCTCTTGCTGTCTCTCTCTGTCAAATAAATAAATAAAATCTTAAAAACAAAAAAACAAAAAAAACATTCCTGTTGCGTTTTTGCATTCAAACCCAGGATGTAGAAAAACATATTTATAATAACCAGTGCAAGTTACTGCAGATCGTAAGCCAAGGACACAAAAGAAAAATGCTGGTAAGTCATTTAAATAAAAACTGAGAATTTCTCTGTTTCAGTTCCCCTGTTAATGTCCCTGCTAGGGATAGGAAGCACTGAAGAGATTTGTAAAGCGGTCAATCTTCTCATGGCCAGTGGAGACTCCTAAACTTTCTCCCAGGCTCGTCACTGGTATTTCATCCAGTACAACATGAATTGAGATTTTTCTTTCTGAAGCTTTCATTTTAAAAGGCATGAATTCCAAGCAGGAAAAGCAAAGTCTAGATGTGCGTTCAAATCATGTGTAAAAGAAAAAGACATGTTTAGTCATCGTCATTAATATATGTAGAGATAGAATTTGTGGTCTACGGAGGATCCAAAGATCAAAAAATTGTCAGTGAATGTTTAGGTTTGTTCTTAGGAGAAGCTGACATTGCGAACATGGGGTCCACTTAGCAGGTGTATCCCCAACCTGCAGATGGCTGAAAATATCAACCTGAAGCACAGGCCTTCCTCTGACTCCCCATTTGCCAAGAACATGGCTGATTAGAATCGGGTTTTCCATATAGAGTTTCCTATAGGGAGCAAATATTTGATCAACTGGCATAAACATCCCAGTCAGCCCGGCCGCTTTGGTTCTCATTGTAAATGAACTGGCCTTTGGTTTGTACGAGCACTTACTTGAGAGGTGGGTTTGCATGAGGCTGACCACCAGAGAGCTGCCGTGTTCTGGTGCTCTATCAAAATCAAATTAATGAACCTGCATATTTGAGGGGGGGTCCCTGCACACCCTTTCTGCCTACAGGCCTACTCCCACCATTTTCAGAGTCCAGGGTAAAGGTACAAATGGAGGACTCAAGCCTATGTCGTATTCCCCTCTTCTGCCCCCTGACGGCTCTAGTCTTCACATCAGGAACAATGTGAGCATCCATGAGGACGCCTCAGCCGTCAAGTCCAAATTCTGCCCCAGTTCCTGCCTGCCCGATAGCTACTCCTTGGCCATCTTGCAGGCCTAGGGGTGTGCATAGGGCAATGGCTACCTTTGGGAGGACAGACCCAGGACAGAAGTCCAAGCAGGATCTGGTACTTGTTATAGGCCATTTCATGAGGGTGATCTAGGGGTGAGGGGCTTACTTCAGGGCAGACATGTCTTCTTGACTTTATGGACTCCTCACTATGTTAAGAGGGTTTTGCCAGAGGAAGGGCGTAGCGTGGGGGACCTACTTGCCCAGTTCTAAGGGAGATAGTGCCCATGTAGCTGTCCTTTTCCCACTCTGAGGACATCAGGAGTGACCATATTACATCATCAGATGATCCCTCGATCTCAGCTGGCTAAAACTACAATACTTCTTACTAGAATGTAATTTGCCAAATTGTGGCCTAAGGGGGATCTGACTCAGGCCTGTGGACCATAAGCAAAGCCATATCTTGTTTGAAATCGCTCTCTAGAGAACTAGAAGAAACTTTGGGATTTTCTATAAATATTTATAGCGGTTCGTCAGGCAATTGGACTGAATTCTGAGCTATGTAGAGATGCAGTCTGGGGTCACAGCCTCATCTGTCTTAATTACAGGGTCAAGAACAGAGAAGACTTCATTTAACTGCTAATGGAAGTCCTTAATCTGACTGAACCTGAACAATTTGGCCTAGAGAAATTAGTGCATGGTGTCAGCCAATGACATTCAGATAGTTTTAAAATAATCTAATCTTTCAGAGCTCTGTGCTTGGCTGATGGAAAAGAGAATTTGAAAGGAATGACGTGGAACTTACTTGCTTATAAATATGCTTTGGGGCAGAACTATTGCAGGAGTGATCTCATTTTGTTCCAAGAGATTTCACTGCTGTTTCACAAACACTCCATCCGGTCTTGCTAATAGAACAAAGCCGCAGAGCTGCATTAAGAGAGGGGCAGAAAAGGATTTTAATCTACTCAGCCAGCTGGTCTGTCATCTACATTATGCGGGGGGGAGGAGGGAGAGAAAAACATAAAACATAATGTGACACACAGAACAATGTGATGTGATGACCTGATAGAGGAGGCCTTAAATGTAAATGGATGGAGAATCTATCTTTACAAAGTTCTGGGTGGGATGAAATCGAAATGGCTGAAGCACTGTGGGCAGGAGGAAGACTGGCCTCCGTGGCTGTTCATTTAATTTTATTTCTGGTCGATCATTCATTGAGCAAATATCGAAGGACCGGCCAAGTGCAAGGCATTGTTTAACGAGTGACCATTTCTAAAGATCTTTTCTTTCACCTTCTTTCTTATCATTTCTTAACTCCATCTTCAGCCACATCCCCAGGGAGGTAGTATCACATCATAATGAGCCACACAAGGCCTTGTAACCATGCTCTTTCGCATCTTGGAGCCTCGGAGTCCCCATCTGTAAAGCAGGGATGGTAATAGTGCTTGGCTTACACCAGCGGCTCAGCACACACTGAACTCCCAGTAAGTGTTCCGTATGAATGATGTAATGAAAAAGATAATAATAATTTGCTTCACAGCCTGCTGCAGCTAACGGAGAGCCACCTGGAGGACAAAGTGGCATTAGGCAGAAACGAAACAAGAATAATGTTTGTAACTTGCAGTGTTTTGTATTTCTTGAGCATGAAGAAACCACCAGCATTAACTGAGCATGTACCATGCTAGGATATAAGCGAACTTTCTGATCTGTGATATTTGTTGGGGAGAAAAAAAACCAGTTTTCATTTACCCTCTTACGTTCAGTGGCTGAAACCCTGAAAAATAAACTGATAAGAGACAGATTGGCAGAAGAAAAGGGTTATTTCTTATGAATATGCAGGGGTGGGGGGGGGGGGTTGTCTCACAGAAATGAAGTGATAATTCCAAAGAGGGAGTCAGACCATAAGGCTTCTAGACCGTTTTAACGAAGCGTGATAAATGTGGAGATATGACATGACAAAAGAAAAAAGAATTTGAGCTTGTGGGAAGTTAAAATATGTACGGGAAACCAATGGAAGATAAGGGTTGTTCATTTTAGTAAGGTTTGTAATGCAGATTCCTTTCGGGTGCCATCACTGGGCTGATAAGAGTCTGGCGTTGTCTCAGGTGATTAAGTCATTCTGTCCCTCCTGGCACTGGAGCGGGGCTCAGGGGGGACACCTGCACAAAAGGAAATTTACCCTCTGCTTTGAGGCAGGCGGAGTGAAGGGAGCAAGCTTTGTTCTGTGTCATTTCTCAGTTGCCTTTAGTTCAAAATAATCCTTATGCCAAAGTGGCATATTTTGAACAGCATATTATTATCCTCATCATATTATTTAATACGCCCTCACACAATACCCCATAAACTGGGTACTCTTGTAATGTCCGTTTTATATTTGGGTAAACTGAGGTTTAGAGAGGTAAAGTATTTGCCATGTTTACACAGATGATAAGTGGTGGAACTCGGAATCAAATCCGGGTTTCACAAGTCTAGAACCAGGACCCTCCAACCTCCCTAAAACTCTGTGGCACAGAGGTGGCAGAGATTCTGAAACTGCCAGGATTACAAATAAATTCCAGTTCTAACCATTAGAGGAGGGAGAAAACTGTTTGCTCAGGAGCTGGGCCCTGGACTCTCTTCGGTTATTGTTTAAAGGAATTCATCATATAGTGCCAGATGACAGACTTCTCTTGCAGTAAGAAGGGAAGCATGTGCTGAAATTCTGAAGTAAGCCTCCAAGTCACTTTTAACTGTGGTTCTATAGTGACCAGTCATTCTGCCCTCCTTGGTTTGCCCCGGCTGGAGGTGTGTCTTTGCACTTGGCAGAGTCCTTATGCATTTAAGTGACTCCCTGTTTGTTAAATGAGAAAATTTGGTAGATTGGTGTTCCTCTCTGTAGATGAGATAGAAACTGCTACGCATCTGGAGAAAAACAATTAGGGCCATCAAAAATCTTTAGGGTGGACTAATCAGTTTTATTAGGTAATCAGTATGTGCAAAATGAGCAAATAGAAACTAGTTGCAGAATCCGGCCATACATAGGTATTTGTTTGTTTGTGTTTTTAACTCAACAAATCTAAATGCACAAAGCCTAACTTCAACTCATCAAACTCAATTCTCAAGCAATTGGTTCTTTTGTTTTGACTGCAAATTTATCATAAGTGTGGATGACTTGGTTTGCCTTCTTACTCCAAGACCTCCAGAATTCACTGACAGGTCCTTTGGTTTCCTGCTGAATGGCTCTAAATGTGTTTCCTCTTGGGGGATGGGATTCTGAAAGCATTCTGAGTTGGTGAGCCATTTGCAGATTGATTCCTGGTCAAACAGGTTCAGTCCCCACTTACCCATACAGCCACAGAGACTAACATAGCTCGAGGCTGGAGCAAGTACGAGGTAAATTCAGATATTGAGGCACAGAAACATACAGGCAATTGATTTTTACCTCCATACAGGAACTTGTCTCCTCAGGATAAAGTATAAGCTCCTTTACACAGGAGGAAGTCTGGTGTCGTGGTTAAGAATGCAGTCCTGGAGACCGTCTGTCTGCCACTGGACTACAACAGCCATCTTGCTACCAGGAAGAGAAGGCCTGCCTGAGCGTGAGGTCAACATGGCCAAAAGCAGAGCTTAGAGAGAGTGAGAAACCAGTTTCTGAAGATACTGCAGGAAATCAAAATACCCCACCCCAAAATATGCCACATTGGCAAAAGGATTATTTTGAGTTGGAGGAAAATGAGAATCAATGGATGCAGAAAGAAGCCTTCTGGGAGGGTCCATCATCTGACTAAAAGCAGATTCTGAGAAATGGGGACTGTCCTCTCCTGTGGAAGTCTTATGGCAATGAAGAAGATAAAAAGTTGGCACCAAGATGGACCTACACAAACCAACCTTCCTCTGTTAGGTTTCCCTATAGATTTATTTACCTTCCCACAATTTGCAGCCCTTGGAAGCCTAAAATCTTTTCCTTTTTCTAATCACTTCTGTACAAATTTATTCTTTTTTGTTAAGATGCTATTTAAGCCCCAAGTTCTAACCACCACTTTGAGTTACTTGGCACTGAGCTTCTCCTATGTACATGCATCCTGCATGTGTTGGTTTTTTCCCCTGTCAATCTGCTTTTTGTCAGTCTAATTTGTAGGGCCCCAGGCAGAGAGCATAGGAGGTAGGAGGGCACAGAGCAGAGGTGTCTTTTCCTTCCCTACAACGCTACTAGGAGCCCTGATCAAACCAAGCTTGAAGCCACAACCATGGCTAGATTTTTCAGGCATGTAAGCCAAAATGTTTCTGTTTTGCCTAAACTGTCTTAGGTGGGTTTTTTCCATCATTCATATTCTGTTCTCCATCTATCAAAATGTTCTCCAATATCCAAGCCCGTTCAAATGCACCTCTCCATGAAGCCTTCCCTATTCTCTGAACTTTTCCTTATTCCATCCAGGCAGAATAGCATCTGCTTGTCTCTCTCTCCCCTTCTGTTCCCATGTAATACTCAGTTGGCACTTCTCTAAAAGCTCTTACCAATTATGCGTTGGGCCATTAAATGCCTGGGGACTCTGGAGCTGGATTGCTTAGGTTGTAATCCTGGTTCGAACACCCAGTAGCCGTGTCATATCTTCCCTAATAGAACATAAGGGGCTCATGACAGAGATCTTGGCTTGAGCCCTTTTCCTGTTGTGCTACCCATCTTGCTGTCCCATCCCCTGTGACCAGGGCCTATTTGTAGACCTACCTTAGAATCCATGTGTTACCCCTCTGCCTTCCTTCTCATCAGAAGACTGATACTCCCTTGGCCTACCTACTATGCTCAGACTTCAGGTCTTTGCCCGCCCTGCAAATACGTTGGAATCTCAGACTTCCTAAATCTTCTCTATTCTAATGATGCCTGATCAGGATTATGACATAAACAAACAATCTCAGTGACTGATCCCTTCTCTTTTCTGGATTCTGGAAATGTCTGGTGCTTGAAGAGATAAAGTTTGATCCAATGGTCTATCTTGACTGTAAATAATTCATTCCACTGAATTAGAAAGTAAAATCTATTCCCTGGTCACTGTAAAATGTAGTTCAAAATCTGTACTGTCTTGCTTTTGCTTTTCTGAGAGGCAGTCTGAAGGGTTAACTATTGACAAAAGCCCTTCATTCAAGTGAATAGACTCTGAAGAGTTTGTGAAAAGAATATTAAATCCAGATGTTCTACTAAGGATGTTGTCCTTGAGCTAATGGGAAAATAAAAATAATATAATTTAACAGAGCCAAAATGTACATGAACAGAGAACAGAAAGGATTAAAGGCTTTTAGACAATAGCCTGAGTTATGGTCCCATTACTTCCATTTAATAAATATATGACTATGGGCAAATCACATAATTTCTCAGTGTTCCATTCTGCATAATGGGATTAATAATAAGCTACTCTATCACTATTACACTGACCTGGGATGATGATCAAACGCTGATGTACAGTTGCTTTGCTACATTCATAAGGTAGTGTTATTATTACTCTTTCCAAGTGATCCAGGGGGTGAAATCTAATTTCTTCTTTTTTAAAAATTTTTTATTGTTATGTTAATCACCATACATTACATCATTAGTTTTGGATGTAGTGTTCCATGATTCATTGTTTGTGCATAACACCCAGTGCTCCACGCAGAATGTGCCCTCTTTAATACCCATCACCAGGCTAACCCATCCCCCCAACCCCCTCCCCTCTAGAACCCTCCATTTGTTTTTCAGAGTCCATCGTCTCTCATGGTTGGTCTCCCCCTCTGATTTCCCCCCTTCATTCTTCCCCTCCTGCTATCTTCTTCTTTTTTTTTCTTAACATATATTGCATTATTTGTTTCAGAGGTACAGATCTGTGATTCAACAGTCTTGCACAATTCACAGCACTCGCCATAGCACATACCCTCCCCAATGTCTATCACCCAGCCACCCCATCCCTCCCGCCCCCCCCAACACTCCAGCAACCCTCAGTTTGTTTCCTGAGATTAAGAATTCCTCATATGAGTGAGGTCATATGATACATGTCTTTCTCTGATTGACTTATTTCACTCAGCATAACACCCTCCAGTTCCATCCATGTCGTTGCAAATGGCAAGATCTCATTCCTTTTGATGGCTGCATAATATTCCATTGTGTATATATGCCACATCTTCTTTATCCATTCATCTGTCGGTGGACATCTTGGCTCTTTCCACAGTTTGGCTATTGTGGACATTGCTGCTATAAACATCGGGGTGCACGTACCCCTTCAGATCCCTACATTTGTATCTTTGGGGTAAATACCCAGTAGTGCAATTGCTGGATCATATGGTAGCTCTATTTTCAACTGTTTGAGGAACCTCCATACTGTTTTCCAGAGTGGTTGCACCAACTTGCATTCCCACCAACAGTGTAGGAGGGTTCCCCTTTCTCCGCATCCCCGCCAACATCTGTCGTTTCCTGACTTGTTAATTTTAGCCATTCTGACGGGTGTGAGGTGGTATCTCATTGAGGTTTTGATTTGGATTTCCCTGATGCTGAGCGATGTTGAGCACTTTTTCATGTGTCTGTTGGCCATTTGGATGTCTTCTTTGGAAAAATGTCTGTTCCTGTCTTCTGCCCATTTCTTGATTGGATTATTTGTTCTTTGGGTGTTGAGTTTGAAAAGTTCTTTATAGATTTTGGATACTAGCCCTTTATCTGATATGTCATTTGCAAATATTTTCTCTCATTCTGTTGGTTGTCTTTTGGTTTTGTGGACTGTTTCTTTTGCTATGCAAAAGATTTTTATCTTTTTTTTTAAAGATTTTATTTATTATTTATTCATGAGAGACAGAGAGAGAGAGAGAAGCAGAGGGAGAAGCAGGCTCCCCGCTGAGCAGGGAGCCCAATGTGGGACTCGATCCCAGGACTCTGGGATCATGACCTGAGCCGAAAGCAGATGCTTAACCATCTGAGCCACCCAGGCGCCCAAGCTTTTTATCTTGATGAAATCCCAATAGTTCATTTTTGCTCTTGCTTTCCTTGCCTTTGGCAATGTTTCTAGGAAGAAGTTGCTGAGGCTGAATCGAAGAGGTTGCTGCCTGTGTTCTCCTTTAGGATTTTGATGGACTCCTGTCTCACGTTTAGGTCTTTCAACCATTTGGAGTCTATTTTTGTGTGTGGTGTAAGGAAATGGTCCAGTTTCATTCTTCTGCATGTGGCTGTCCAATTTTCCCAACAGCATTTGTTGAAGAGACTGTCTTTTTGCCATTGGACGTTCTTTCCTGCTTTGTCGAAGATGAGTTGACCATAGAGTTGAGGGTCCATTTCTGGACTCTCTATTCTGTTCCATTGATCGATGTGTCTGTTTTTGTGCCAGTACCATACTGTCTTGATGATGACAGCTTTGTAATAGAGCTGGAAGTCTGGAATGGTGATGCTGCCAGCTTTGCTTTTCTTTTTCAACATTCCTCTGGCTATTCAGGGTCTCTTCTGGTTCCATACAGATTTTAGGATTATTTGTTCCATTTCTTTGAAAAAAGTGGATGGTATTTTGATGGGGATTTCATTGAATGTGTAGATTGCTCTAGGTAGCATTAACATCTTCACAATGTTTGTTCTTTCAATCCATGAGCATGGAACGTTTTTCCATTTCTTTGTGTCTTCCTCAATTTCTTTCATGAGTATTCTATAGTTTTCTGAGTACAGATACTTTGCCTCTTTGGTTAGATTTATTCCTAGGTATCTTATGGATTTGGGTGCAATTTTAAATGGGATCAACTCCTTAATTTCTCTTTCTTCTGTTTTGTTGTTGGTGTATAGGAATGCCACTGATTTCTATGCAATTGATTTTATGTCCTGCCACTTTACTGAATTCCTGTATGAGTTCTAGCAGTTTTGGGGTGGAGTCTTTTGGGTTTTCCACATAAAAGAGTGTATCATATCATTTGTGAAGAGTGAGAGTTTGACTTCCTCTTTGCCGATTTGGATGCCTTTGATTTCTTTTTGTTGTCTGATTGCTGTGGCTAGGACTTCTAATACTATGTTGATTAGCAGTGGTGATAGTGGACATCCCTGCCACGTTCCTGACCTTAGGGGGAAATCTCTCAGCTTTTCCCCATTGACAATGATATTCGCTGTAGGTTTTTCATAGATGGCTTTTATGATATTGAGGTATGTACCCTCTATCCTTATACTCTGAAGAGTTTTGATCAAGAAAGGATGCTGTACTTTGTCAAATGCTTTTTCTGCATCTATTGAGAGGATCCTATGATTCTTGTTCTTTCTTTTGTTAATGTATTGTATCATGTTGATTGATTTGCGGATGTTGAACCAACCTTACAGCCCAGGGATAAATCCCACTTGGTCATGGTGAATAATCCTTTTAAAGTACTGTTGGATCCTATTGGCTAGTATTTTGGTGAGAATTTTTGCATCCATGTTCATCAAGGATATTGGTCTGTAATTCTCCTTTTTGATGGGGTCTTTGTCTGGTTTGGGGATCAAGGTAATTGTGGCCTCATAAAATGGGTTTGGAAGTTTTCCTTCCATTTCTATTTTTTGGAACAGTTTCAGGAGAATAGGTGTTAATTCTTCTTTAAATGTTTGGTAGAATTCCCCTGGGA